CGCAGCTAGTGCGGAACGCAGCGGCACGGCTGTAGATGTCATTGCCTGTGTGGGCACACATCCACCCGGTACTGCATGAACTGCACTGGCTACCTATCGAATACCGGATCCGTTTCAAGGTGCGGGTGCTTACGGTCAGGGGCCTGCTTGCTTAGTTATTCCTCACATGATTTTAGATAATGGATTAAACTTGATACTATCTGCTGGAACTGACTGATGACATGAAGATATCAGAATGACCACCTTTGTGAGTTACTATAGAAGAAGAAGAGGAGGAGGAGGAGGAGGAGGAGATTGGATGTATACCCCGCCCTTCACTACCCAATGGTGTCTCAGAGTGGCTTACAAACTCCTTTCCCTTCCCCTCCCCACAACAGACACCCTGTGAGGTAAAAGAAGAAGAAGAAGAGATTGGATTTATACCCTGCCCTTCACTACCCAAAGGTGTCTCAGAGCGGCTTACAAACTCCTTTCCCTTCCCCTCCCCACAACAAACACCCTGTGAGGTAGGTGGGGCTGAGAGAGCTCTTGACAGAAACTGCTCTTTTTCAAGAACAGCTGTGCCAGAGTTATGGCTTCCCCAAGGTCATCCAGCCAGGTGCAAGTGGCGGAGTGGGGAATCAAACCCGGTTCTCCCAGATTAGAGTCCGTGCACTTAACCACTACACCAAACTGGCTCTCAATATATATGAAAGAAACAACATGTATCTAGGCACTAGCACAGATGAGGATCTGAGCCCTGGGACCGGTAGATTTATTGAAGAAGAGGAGGAGGAGGAGGAGATTGGATTCATACCCTGCCCTTTACTACCCCGAAGGAGTCTCAGAGCAGCTTACAAACTCCTTTCCCTTCCCCTCCCCACAACAGGCACCCTGTGAGGTAGGTGGGGCCGAGAGAGCTCTGTCAGAAACTGCTCTTGTTCAAGGACCACTCTGACAGAACTATGGCTTGCCCAAGGTCATCCAGCAGCTGCAAGTGGAGGAATTTATAGATTATATTTATAAATCGCTCAATCCCTGAGTACTCAGGGCTCTGAGCAATGAACAACAACGGTAGAAAGATAATATTAAAACATTCCAACAGTTAAATAAACTAATTAAAATCATGCTGGAGACCAAGCCCTATGAGGAAAGGCTGAGGGGCTTGGGAATGTTTAGTCTGGAGAAGAGGAAATTAAGGGGGGGGGGACAACGTTCCCTCTAAGCTTTGGAGTCCTGTGAGCAAAAATTCTACTTTGTGAGCTACTGGCATTACAGTTGTGAGCGAGCAGTTTGGCTGCTGCATAAATGAGTTTGCTCTGGAGCCAATCTCCCTGAGCTAAGACAAAAATGTGTGAGCCGGAGGCTAAAAAAATGTGAGCTGGCTCACACTAACCCAGCTTAGAGGGAACACTGGACATGACTGCTCTCTTGAAGTATCTGAAGGGCTGTCCCTTAGAGGAGGGCAGGGAGCTGTTCCTGTTGGCCGCAGAGGAGAGGACTCGCAAGAATGGGTTTAGATTAAGGGCGGGAAGGTCCCGGCTGGTCTTTAGGGAAAACATTTTGACAATCAAAATTGTACGACGGTGGAATCGGTTGCCTAGGGAGGTCGAGTCAGTCAAGTAATTTATTGTGTTTGGCCACTGGCCGTTACAAAATACAAACTGCAGCAAAGCATTCATAAAAGGTTAACACTTTAAAATACAACCTCAGTGATCGGGTTAAAATTAACTTCTGGTCCGTGGTAAAGAAAGGATAAAACAGGTTTGATCACCATCAAGTAGCGCCCCCC